CATCTCAGTCTCCTCACACCTTCATTAGAATATAAATAAAATGAATGTAAATCAAAAAGTCAACAGAAATTAACAACTTTTCTACAATCAACACTAGGGATGTACATAGTTACCCGGTTAATTGCTGTTAATTTTGTAACAGGGTAAACTAGTTTTCTCAGTTAATTGTTTCAAGTCCTTCTACTGCGCTGGGTGTAATATATTTTGTGTCACCAGAGGGTGCAAGAGTGTTCTAACAAATATGTTGGGCGACCGCAGAAGAAGAATTGAACTTGTCACATGACCAAACAAATGTGCTCAAACACGAAGCAGTTAGCAAAAAGCCAGCGTTGGAACAGTTTATTCTTAGTTATTTTATTCTTGGAACACAATAAGCCTCACATCAAAGCGCTGAGCCTGGCTGAATATGGTGCAGCAAACTGAACCGAGACCAGCAAAAAGTAAGTGTGCCGTGACGCTCCTGCTTGCGTCTGAGTCCTAATTTGTCTAGTAAAATAAAGAAATGTCAGTGTACTTATTTAGTTCAATGTAAGAAAACATTTTTTTTACCTTGGCCTCCAGAGAGAGAACAACTCTCTCCCCCTGAGCCTGAGATCAGTGGACTCAGTGGACTCCTTTAAAATGCAGCTGAAGACTCACTTGTTCAAGCTGGCTTTTGTATGACCTTCTTCACCACTCTCTCTTTATTCTGCTCTCCCCACCTATTCCACCTTCCTCAGGATCCACTGATTTCCCTCTTTCCTATTCACTCTCTTTCTTAACATTTTTTAATCACAATTGTCGATTTTTGCTCATTTAAATATATTTTTAAAAATTTTCTAAATAATTTTTTATATTTGACATTTTTTGTTTTTGTGAAGCGCCTCGTGATTTTTGTCTTGAGAGGCGCTATAGAAAAGATCTTTTCTTCTTCCTCTTCTTCTGAATGTGCTCATAAGCACGTAATCGCAGGCAGCGCTGTGTAATCGATGCCAGACCGTCCGCTTCGCAACAAGTTCTGAGTCTGACGGACATTCCAGCTGTCATCCCACTCTTTACTTTTTGTTCATAAATGTAACGAGTGTGGCACTTTAGTTGCGCGTCAGAATTATATTAAAAAGAGTAGACACAAAAAGAATTATTATAAATAGAGCGGGGGCAAATGTTCGTGTGGAGGGGGGGTGTTTGGTTTTCAGTTAACCGGCTGTTAACCGTTAAGGGGCGTCCATAGTCTGTTAAAGCAATTTTGTAAACGTGTATCCCTAATCAACATAACTCCCAGGGCGGGACTGGGAGATCGGAGTTCAAATCCCTGCCGGGTCATACCAAAGACTTTATAAAAATGGGACCCAATGCCTGCCTACTTGACACTCAGCTTTAAGGGGTTGGATTGGGGGGTTGAAACACAAAATAGTTCCCAAGCATGGCCAAATCTGCAGCTCACTGCTCCCCACAGGGGTGGGTCAAATGTGGTGAACAATTTTCACCACACCACACCAGTGGTACTTTAATCTGTAACGGCACAGCTATACTTTGTAGCAAATAAACCATAAGTCTTTGTGAAACAACCTTCTTTGAACAAAGACATAAGCAAATGGAAGATGTTTGGCCGTAACGCATAGCTTAACAAACACGATGTCAGCTGCTCATTCTGTCTGTTAAGCACCATGGTGAGGTACTGATGATTCAGGACTTTTTTGGCTGTCATTTGGTTGACCATGGCATGAACAGCCACAAACCTAAATTAGGAAAGAAGTTTGGGCCGGACTTTCACAACTGTATGAGATCGATGAGGTCCACAAGAACAAGTTCTTCCTTTGGAGTTAGGGATGCACTGAAAATTCTGCCACCTAACATTTTCGGCCGAGAATTTCCAAAAGTGCATTTTCTGGGAATGTTTTTGATCTTTAAAACTTTTATTTATGTTTTAATGGCTAAAGATGATTGGATCAGCATGGTTCTTTCTTTGCCTTTAACTGAATAATTGACGCTGTAAAACAAGGCTGCATTGGTGGTGTATGAGAGCAAAAATCCAAGGCATCAAAATGAGCGTTGAATGCAGCTTTTGAGTGCATGTATGTGCCAGCCCATGGTCAAGGCCACAGACACAGCTTCTGTTTGGGCTGTTGTTTGACCTTCTGAAAAGTGCCTGTCGCCAGTAACTGAACTCATTCTTCCTCATTTTCTATGGTGCTAATATGTCCCTCTCCTCCCCTCAGTCCATAGTTCCCTTTTTTATTGAGGTTTAAGAGATGCAAAGGTTGTCTGTGCAGCCATCTTCTGTCAGCAGATAACTGACCCGCAGCTCAAATCTGCCACACATGACACAACAAAGGCAGAGTGGACATTTTCACAGGATTTCTGTCTGAGTTCAGCTTAGCGGTATTAAAAAAAAAGCTTTTCTTTACTTGGAAAACATGTTTTTTGAAAGTCAGGGTTGGAATGTGGATCTTGTGACTCAACGATTTGTTCGCATTGATGCTAGTCAAGCTTGTAATCTAGATTCAGTAATCTTTATAGCACTTTTATAGCTCCTGAGGCTGAGAAGAGTCCGATCAGCATGTTGTGTTTGCTGACCTTTGAACCTCAAAGCCTATGCTCCCAACTTCTAAGTCCAGATTTATTACTGCTTTGAGTGAACATTGCTTTGATCTATTTTAGTGTTAAACATATGCTTTTTTATTTTTTACTGTTTAGCCAATCGTAATTTATAATTCAATTCAATTCAAAGAGATACTTTATTAATTCCAGAGGGAAATTAGAGTTTCAGTACACACAATTCTGAGATCTATCCCAATCCGTGCTGATTCGTCCACTCGCTCCTTGATCGCATCCATCTTTTGTGCCAATGCATGAATTTCAGCCAAAGTTCCAAGCTTACGACTCATCTTGACAATTGTATGAGTCTGTGCATTCACAGTGCGGTATAATCCATCCCTGAGCCAAGAAAGAGCCAATATTCCTTGACAGCCCGTTAATTTTCCGGTAAGCCAGGTAACCTCCCAGGCCAAAAAGCATGAAACCTGAAACCAACACAATGAATATTCAGACGTCTTCAGAATCCTCTGCAGACAGTTGAGATAAGCTAATCAGGTTCCACTGTTTCCAGGAGTCCCATGATATGCCCAACTGGATCTGTCCCAGAGGGGCACCTGGGAGCCCCTTCTCCCATTCTCATAGTTGAAAAAATTTTGTCAATCGCGTTGAGAGACCAACTGACCAGGTCCATTTTAGTAATTTCAGTTTCCAGTTTTCCAGAAAAAATGCAGAAGTGCCGTACACCCAGAGACGGACAAAGAGCCTTGGAATAAGATAGGGAGGAGAGGAGGAAAAAGCGTCTGTACTCTCCAAGAGCTGAAAGAAGATAAGATAATAAGTTGAGCCCTAAATCACTTTTTAAATTTTAAAATGATCCAAACAAAAAGCTTTTATGCAGCTTTATCTTTAACCTCTGAAGCAGCTTTACAATCAAGAATAATTCTGCATGAATTAGGCAATCACACCCAATTGCACCGCCTGTTTTACCCCTTAAGTAAATAGAGATTATTTCAATGAAAAATAATAAAAGTGCAGCCATAATAATCTGGTGATGTTTACAGTGGGCCTAGAAAGGTCAGATGTCAAGTTTTAAAATATTTGAGACAGGTTTTTTGTGCATTTTTACAACAAATCAATGTAAAAAAATTTATTTTTCAGAATTTAAAATTATTACAGATATTCTATCTTTGAGATGTCCAAGTTTTCGGGGTTTGCTTCACTCCAAGGTGTTGTTAACCGGGACGACTGGATCGTTTCACCCTGCAGTAAACACGTCCCTAAAATAGAGCTGAGAAGAAACAGGCGAGCAGGAGAATGTCAGGCATTCGTACTACAAACCTCCACCGAGACCACATGTACAGTCACATAAACACTGCCTCCCAAACCTACATCCCCGTGTCTAAGTCACATCTGCTCAGTCTGTCCTCCTTTTGAAGAAGCAGCCAGTAAATGTGAAGTTTTACGACTTTTGAGGTATTTTATATTTGGAACAAAACAGAGGCAGCGCTGGTTCTGAATATATGATTAGAACATGTCTGATGAAAGTTGTGGTAATTCCACCTTTTCTACTTTCTGTCAGCATAAGGCATTTTAACTATCTTCTAAACAAGGTGTGGCACTTGGACTTCATCAGATTATCACGCAGACTTAGTTTTTACTTGAAAGCAGTTCCTTGAGCTAATTGAGTGGGTCCATTTGGACGCATTTCATCTCAAGTCAGAAAAGCTGCTGAATCGATGCTTCCTAGTCAATAAAATAAAGTTATATCACATTTCACCCAAACTAATCAGTTTTATTAGGATAAAAGTCTGCCTGGTTTAAAAATGGAGGGACAGAAGTCTAACAGGTTGATTTGATTAAATAACAACCAATTACTTCAGTTAATTTCCTCCTAATCATCTAGTTAATCTAAACAAATTACTACATTAATGAGTTCATTACTCCTGAGGTGGCTGTTTTTAATTCAATTAGCTTGAATTTGGATAGAAACAAAGGATGGAAGGTAGAATTACAGGAGCGGGAATTCTCCTCAGGATCTGATCCGATTACTATTCAGAGGCTTGTGATGCGATTAGAAAACCGTCATCGATTTGTCTTTCTACCTGCTTGGGTTTTACCCGGTTTTACCACAGTAAAACGTTTCTGTATTTGTGATTATCACCAATGTCTTACCTCACTTTTTCTCAAGTTTGAACTATTTTCTATCATTTTAAATTTGTTTACATCAGTAGAAGTCAAACCCCCAGAAAGAGCAGATACACATATTTAATGTATTTCATTGATTTAGCGGTTCCCATCATCAGCTGCGGACATCCGTGTGATTTTTAACCAAAGTGACCAGAGCTGATGGTTTTTAGTTTTTATTGTTCTGCTGTCCAACGGTCAATGCATTTTCATCCAAGGCAGGGGCACTGAATCAGTTCTTAACGAGCCGGCTGACTCATCCATTTTTCTTCTGTACCCTCCTTTTTCCTCCACTCCAGTTTGATTTACCATGACAACCGAATCAGGCACAGACTCGGAGGCCAAGCAGCCACAGGAGAACCAGGAGAAGAGGAAAGCAAAAGCAGCAGCCGAACCCAAATCGCCCCAGAACCAACCGGAGCAGCTCCCAGCCGCCGCCGGACACAGCACCCCGGCCAGGAAAGGACAGGTCAGCCTCTTTATCAGAGCCCAACACGAGTCGTATGACTAATACACTCACTGATGACATTTTAGGCTCCGTCTTAAAACATCTTAGAAAGAAAGTCCAGTAGTCTTACATTCAACCACTTAGGATGTAAATCAATGTTGTCTTTTCCACTTGGCAGTGTCCATTCATTAAAAAACAAGCAAACATTTCACAGCTTTGCTCCCTGAATGAATTGTCTTTGTGTGTGAAATGGAAATGGGGGGGGGGGGGGGGGGGTGACAGCGTGACTTGTTTGTCCTCTATTGTTACAACCCACCATCAGATGCATTTGCCTGCTAGTAAATTTGATTTTGAGACCGTTGTGATTACTGTCACGTTTTAAAATGAGAAGGAACTTTCGACCTTTCTTCGGAGACCAACAGGCTTTTGTTTGGGGGTGAATCGAAGCTCCTTGGATGCAGCGCTGCAGGTTTCAGATTCTGAAAGTTGGTAAAAGAGGAACTGGAGCTTGTGAATTTTAAATCAGAAAAGAAGTGAAAGGAGGACGTCGTGTTCCACATATTCTACTCTAGAAAAGGTCTGAATATACATGCTAATTAATCTTCTTTCATTTGGTGTCTACTAACAAAGATACTACACCCCTTGGTTTTGTGGAGCTTTTATATAATTTTATGATGTACCATAAAGTGTGTGTGTATGCGTGTGTGTCTTCACTAGTTTAGACAAAACGCACGACTATCATAAACTATTTTTTATAAGCTACGGAAAGTGAACTTTAGTAAAACATAAGGTGGCTTTGTAATATAAAATGTTCATTTTATTATTATAATAAATCTACTGTCATGTATACCAGTGATGCCATGATCGTATTTGTTAATACAGATGTAAAAGTGCTGCTAACAGTTGCTAATTTGTCTCAAATTCCCTTCAGAGTTTGATGTAGCCGATACAGAAATGTCATCTGATCAGAGTTTAAGCCACATTAAACAACTGCTGTTGTCAGCGCTGTATGAATCAGGACAAAAATCTCAACACTGTGACACTATGATGTCAGACTCGCTGTGAAACACACTCCAGCTCACAGGACACACACATTCACCTGCACAACAAAGGTGCTCGGGATCTATTTCTCTATCTGTGGTACTCATCATCAGTGCATCTCTCTACTGCACCCCTTAGTAACTCTTGGGAGAGTAGAAATTTATCAAATCCTTTACTCTAGAAGTAATTTCCTTCCATGGATGAGCATGACCCCTGAATGGGTCTACAGAAAGAGTTGATCCACGTGAGTTATGTTAGTGTGATAGATGTGACTTAAGGGGAAAGAGAGAAAATGAAAGGGGGCATAGCATTAAATCTACTGAGAGTGAAAAAGAAGTATGTCTACAGGTTGCTTCTTCAGTGCAGTCGGTCAGGAGGGGCTTTGTTTTTGGTGAAGTGGAAAATGGATTTTCTCCTTTTTAGGACAAATTGGTGCAATTGAAACGTGTCTCAATGGGACCTGGTTGGGGTAGACCAAAATATCGATTTATCGGTTGGCCGATATATTTACTTTTTTTTTTCTAAATATCAACATTGGCCGATATACCTCTTTAGTAAAGTCCATTTAAAGTCGGGCACATCATCGGGCAGCCTGGTGCTGCTGCAGAATTTAATTTAGACGTTCCTGAATAACATCGCCTAATAAATGCTCAAATTATTTTCAACAAACATTTCCTTTTACTTACTAGTTTTAGAAAATGTAAAGTCTGGTCAGTTAATTTATTTGTTTGATTAACTTTAGTTCAATTTTAACATTTTAAGATTTAACGGTTTAGTGTTTAGAAACGGATTCAGCTTGAGAAATTTTGTGCATCAACTGATGTTTTTGTGACATTTTAACATGTAAATAAGGTGGAAAATGTCTGGATATCAGCCATCAGCTGACCATGACCTCTACATATTGGTATCAGCAATAGAAAACCCGATATCAGTCGACCTCTAGACCTGGTTACATTTAAGCAACGTCCCAAACGTTATTTAGGCTTAATTCAGTGATAGATGTGGTTTTCTAAAAAAAAAAAGAAAAAAAAAAGCTTTATGTTGAATTTAGGGCTGAAGTTTTATTTTCTCACGGCGTATTAACAACATATTTTTTTACACTGTAAATTTTTATTTTTTTTTTACAGCAGGAGGAGGACCAGGAGTCCCACAGGTCGTCCACCAGTCGTCTGTCCAAGTCTCCTCTGAGAGGCGTCAAGAAGGTGAAGATCATGCAGTGTAAGATCACTCTGCTGGACGGCTCTGACTTCACGGTCAACGTGGAGGTGAGTCCGTGCTTTTTCATGCTGTTCAGTCACTGTAGTAACAATTAGAGGTGTGTCATTTGTGAAAGGAATCCACATCACCTGCTTTCTTTCATGCCGGAGTTTTAAACCAAAACTATGTTGAGTGACGTTGCTGCTCGATCTCATATTGCAAGATCTTGTGCTAACCGTTGGCTCTGAGTTAGGGATTTGAATGGCTCACGGCTACTACTATGCACATTTTTACCTCAGTGTTTGATAAATTGACGGATTTTTATGCATTCTTGTGTTTGTCAGAGTTGATTAACTGTGGCAGAAACCTTGGTTAATCAGGGATTACTCAGTTTGCAGGTGGCACCTTGATTAATGACATTAGTTAAAGGTTTTACTCCTGCATTACATTTCCTTACACTTTAAAAGGAGGTTTTTGTCCTACTGATGGATGAGTAACACACCAAAACACGTTTCTCACCATTAAAATGTGATTCAGTGTGTTTTGTGCAAAGACACATTTACACTAGTATCGTTTTTCTGTTTTTCCAGTAGCTGCTGTTCTGTTCAGAAATCTCTTGGGTTTGAAACAATCAATGTGTCAAATTAGTTTTGTGTTGACCTCGTGTGATGCTCATTCCAATGATGAGAACTTATAAAGTGTCTCTATATTCAGACACGTTCAGTCATTTTTGTCATAATAATGTATTCATGTCACTCTCAACTTAATTTCAGGAGTAAATAGTTGTATTTAATTTAACCATGTTTCCCCTTTTCTTGAGCTTTATTGGATCTAATCTAGGGCTGCAGCTATCGAATATTTTAGTATTCGAGTACTCTATAGAATCGTCCATTGATTAATCGAGTATTCTATTTGACGACGTTTCATGTGAAATGAGACTGTGGTCTGCTGCTAAAATAATACAAAATATTAAACAACTAAATGATAAACGGATCAACAATATGTATTTTGAGGTTGTCTAGTTCCCTCTTTCCTCATTTTAGTCTAAACATATATAAATAAATTCACATATGATCAGTAGAATTTAATTATTTCAGTAACATGTTCAGTAGTAAGCTACTGGAAATGATAATAACATTTAATATCTACTAGTAAAAATGTAATAACATATTTTATTATGTACGGTTTTGCAACATAGTCCAGGCTAAATTATAATATAGAAGTGTTTGTGAATTACATGCAACAGCGGCTTGCCGTAGTCTTGCCGTAAAACCGCGGTGTGTGCAGCAGACTCCAGGTAGCAGCTGCAGAGGTCCACAAATAAACGGGATTGTGGGTATTTTTCTTCCGCTTCTAGAGTTTAGTCATTCACAACCGTCACATTTTTTTTTCTGAACTCAACTTGCGTCTGAGTCCTAGTGCTAATAAGCACTAGCTTAGCATTTAACTCTGGATCCCAAACTTTGGACCGTTTCTGCCTTTTACAATGGTTTCTGTCTTTGCTGGTCTATTTTCCTCCACAGCACCTAGATTACAACATTGTGTGCCAGTAAAATGTGTTCAGACTGTGTTGCGCACATTTAACGAAGCTTCGAATCAGTAAAAAATGAATCGAGGAATTTAACTAATCAAACCATTCGAATCATTCGGTGATTCATTTCAGCCCTAATCGAATCCTTTTTCATCAACTGTGACGATGGCAGAGGAGCTGAGTCCCATCCCGTAATCTAAAGGGTTCAAGGTTCTATCCCCGCTCAGTCTGCCGCAGTTGTTGTGTCCTCAAGCAAGACACTTAACCCGCCTTTTCTGCTGGTGGTGGTCAGAGAGACCGGTGGCGCCAATGATCACGTGATCGCACCGCATTATCGCTAGTCTTACCACTTGTAAATGACCAAAGGCTCCCTGATACCACCTCAGCTTTGCTGCACATTGGTGGCATTGTTTTATGAAAGAGGCTTTAGAGACATGAAACTTTATAAGGTTTCTGAACAGGACATGCAGACCCTGGCTCCACAAATCTTTTGTTAAGCAGATTCTTCCTCAGCAGGGGTTTGCTGGAAGGATTAGTCAACTGTTCTGGTGCTGGCGGTAAAGAGCTGGGTTTTGACCATTAAATAGGACAAATCAATATCAGATGCACTCCTGCAAACCCAGGAGGACTTTTTTAGGCAGTGGCACGGTAATCTGTAAATAGGGCGGGGTGTGTCTAGATATTTTATTCTCCAGACAAACCCAGAAGGTTCTGCTTTTGCAACGAGTCACTTTAATTACTTGTTGTTTAGCGGAGAAACAGCAGATGTCTGGTTAATACCGAAACAGGAACTAAGCCTTAGACCTGGTTAAGAGGACGAAACTGTCTCAGCAATGAGTATGTTACTTTTAAATGACGTGAGTAATTAATACTGTAACTGGTTGTGTGAAAATGAGACTAATTTCAAATGTAAAACATAATCACGAGGTGTTTGTTTACATTTCTGAGTCTGGGTTTTCTCAGCATGATGAATATCAACCCCACTTTACCGTGACCTAACACCAGCACTCATTATACGAAGACTACTTAGAGCTGACCTTGGATCAGTGTGCAGAGGAGATGTGAGCTGAAGGACAGGGACGAAGGAGTGCACAAAACCTGAAAGGATCTCTTCATCTGTCCTGAAACAGGCCAGACGTCAATGTTAAAACTTAAAAATAGGTTATGCTTTGTCTTCATATTTAGGGTAATAGTTTATGTATTAGCGGTTTGTGTTCTGCTTTTGTTAACATGCAGCTCACCTAATTAAACCCTTGTGATCAATGTTAATTAGCTGTATTTTAATAAAACTGACATTTTAGTTGCACTCTAATCAGGTTCAGTGAGTCGCTGCCCGCACACCAAAAGGTTTGTAGTGTAATCTCTAGGGAACAAGCTAAATGCTAAATAATAAAGCACACTTTACAACTTAACACAGTAAAAGGATCATTTATGATTTAAAACTGCAGCTTCTTTTTATTTATTTATTTTGTGTATGTTGGATGTGTGTTTATTTAAAAACTGACTTTCTGACACGTGCCTCATGTTTAAAAAATAAGCACAGGGACTAAATCTCACGGCAGCTGGCACACAGATGTGCTGTGGGCCTAGCCGAGGCTGGCGCTCTCGCCTGAGACTCAAAATTAAAATCACGATGCTCTAAAGTCACAGCACTCATTTTCTAATCGGAGTCTAATGTTGGAGTGTGACATTTGGAGCAGAAATTTTATTATTTAGAGTTTCGTGTTGATTATAAAATAAAGTGTTTAATTCTTTTTACCTTAATAGATTCTTTCTAAATAGAGAAGGAGAACTGAACAAAGTTGGTTTTATTTTGAAGATTACAGACCTGCCAACCTGTGCGCATTTTGCATAGCCAGTACGCAATTTGGCATCTATTTACGCTGGTACGACTCACCCCTCTAAACTACGCAAAAAGCTGCGTATACGTCAGTTGAGTTATGTGGCGAAAATGCACGTGTGATACTCATGTCTGACAACACGACTCAGCGGTGTGGTGATGAAGAAGTTTAAGCCAATCATCGTAGAAAAGCAGAGAAAAACCAGAGCTAACTATCCTGCCTAGCCTATAACATAACACCCCCTCCCTGCTTCGTCCTGCCCGCTGCTCCTCTCTCCCTCCGGTTCGCCACTCGTTGCTGTTCTGGTAAGGTAAACTGTGTGTGCATGTGTGTGTATGTGTGTGTATAAAATTTTCCATCCAGTGAATGGGGAGATTACAGCGTGAAAGGCAATGGAGTTGCAAAAGTCCGCAAAAAAACGCCGCACAAGTGGTACTCAAAAAATTTTGACAAGGTTGGCAGGTCTGAGATTATCAGACAAGCTGTTCAGTCTTGCTCCGAGTTGTGAAGCGGTAAAGATGAGCTGAATAAAACCTGTAGCGGTTTGCACCATCACCATGTGTGCTTGTGACGGCATTTCACACATCTTCTAAAGAGCAGGTTTACAGAGTTTAACGTGTCTCCTGCGTTAACTTCTGATGGAAAATGGATAGAAAAACACTCGGTTCATAAAGCCCCACAGATCTACATTACACTGCTTTGTACAGAGGTCACCATGGCAACTAATTGACCACAATCAGCAGGGAGACCATCGATCACCTTAATGAAAGCCATCTTGAAACACAGCAGACATGGTGGATTGTTATGTAATGTGTCACACGGTTATACCTGCAGTCAGATAATTGCCACAGAGACCTCCTCCACCTCCTCAAATCTCATCTAAAACTGGTCCAGGATGTCAGGACGTGACACTTTTTATCCTCCTGACCTTGAAGTTGTCCAGCTCAACTCGGTTATCTCCTGTGGGAACCAGTTCAGGCTAATCATTTCCTATCGTTTTCTGTGACACAGAGCTGCTGAACCTCCCCCGTTCTGAGGCTGTGGGGGTTTTAAAAGACATAAAATGAAATGCCACATCTCACTGACGCAGGATTTTCAAATGCTGGCTCTCAATTTTAACTGTAAGCTTCTAATTTTGGATGTAGCCTTTTTTATGGAATGTAAAGTACATGTTAAAACTTAGGATTTGTATTTTCTCACAAAATATCTGGGATTTCGTAGCAAGGTTATTTAAGTCAGCTGGGGCTTTTTGTTCTGGTTAAAAGGAGAAATCAAAAAGATTCAGTCCTCCAGCAGGCTCACCCTGGGTCTTCAGACTTTGTGTCGCAGCCGCTCTGGTTTTAACGGACTAAATTTAGACTAAATTGATTAGGATCGAAGTTCCATGTCTGATTTGAGATCAGTTTACCCCCCTCTGTCTTCTAAACCCTGGTGAAGGCATACATATGAGATAGATTAGCTGATCGCCCACCCTGGTCTTTATGCCCTAACGGTTTGGTATATTAGACGTTTTTTTTGCTCGTGTGTCAGTAAAACCAGCTTTGAAGCAACGATAGTCTGACATGACTCTGCTAATTCCCTTAGTCAGATATTCTGTTAGGATTAAGTCCCAACAACCAGTAGCTCTGTGTCTGCATTAAAACCCCTCTCACACATCCAAGAGTTAAGAGGTTATTTCGTCTATAAGTTTCTGTTGGTCTCCATCCCTGCAGAGTCGCCCCTACGAGGTTGTGTGTGTGTGTGTGTGTGTGTGTGTGTGTGTGTGTGTGTGTGTGTGTGTGTGTGTGTGTGTGTGTGTGTGTGTGTGTGTGTGTGTGTGTGTGTGTGTGTGTGTGTGTGTGTGTGTGGTTTTTGCCTTCATGCAGGTGTAAGGATGCATTAGTGTGTTGTGACTCCTGCTGCTTGAATAATCCATGGCAGTGGTTTCATCTCATTCAGATGCGAGGAGCTGACTTAAACGTCAGTGCCGGCTCAGGCCTTAAAATAACTCCTCTGAGCTGAGCCAAAAAAATCCATGAAGTCATGCTTTATCATGTGGCGAGGAGGTGCCAGCTCACCACATTCAGCTCTCAGATGTTCCATCAATCGCTCTAAGCATTCATGCCACCAGTGTTCACCTTGTGCTCAGAAATGTGACGTTTTGTTTTTACACTTGTGGGTTTAAAATAAAGGAAATCAATCAGAAGTGGCACAGCTGGTCGATTGTGACTCGGATACCTTGAGAAGTACTCCCTGCAGTAAAGACAGCTACATTTGGTTCTGCCATTACTAGGCTAAATATGAAATAATTACGAGAAAGAGGACAAGATGGGAACTAGATGAATGTTTTGCATCCAAATTGCATCTTTTTATCTATTTAACGTTTTGTCTATTGCTGCTTACCTTCAGTACTGAGGCCTAGCCTAACATGTGAAACGATTGCACGCTAAGAAATTTCTCAGTAATGATGCACATATTATAAAAACACTTTAATGTGACCAGTTTGCATCTGTTCCATTTTTTTTTCTTTTGCATCTTATTACAAATGAAGTAGAAAAAGAAGAAAAGATCTTTTCTATAGTGCCTCTCAAGATAAAAATCACGAGGTGCTTTGCAAGAACAAAAATAAAAAATGTCACAAGGTTCAAAAATGTTTAAAAAATATAACATTGGGAGAGGTAAAACACAGTGAATAACATATGAAGGAAGGAAAAGAGGAAGTGAATACGAAAGAGGGACGAAATGTTTAGTGTTGCTAAAGCTGTAAATGTCAGAGTACACGTGCACTCGAATTTTATGCATCTGTTATTTGAAGGAATGTTTTAGAACTGTAAAAGGATGATCATAGACAGATCCACAGATTTTGATAACTACCAGGGATGGTTAAATTATGGATACCTGGAGGTTTTTGAACATTTAAATGTAAATAAATGTTTTCCTTTTCCTTACAGAAACGGGCCAAGGGTCACGTGCTTTTTGATAAAGTGTGTGAACACCTAAACCTGCTGGAGAAGGACTACTTTGGAATCACACACAGAGACATAGAGAATCAGAAGGTAATGAAAATGTGAATTCATAGATTTTCTTTTCTAAATTGCGTTTCAAGTCATGAAGAAAACAATAAAGACTATAGTGCATGAGACTGTAAGGATGACCTATTTAATGAGTTTCACTTCTTAGTAAGTTCATTTTAAAAAGGTGAGCACAACATTTTTTCTTTGCAGAATTGGTTGGATCCTTCCAAAGAGCTGAAGAAGCAGATCAGAAGTGAGAGCTCCTTAACTTTGTTATTCTAAATAGCCGACAGAGGTGATCACCGTGGAATAAACCTAATTCTTCTTAAATTTCTTTTAACGTCTCAGCTGGTCCCTGGAACTTTTCCTTCAATGTGAAGTTTTACCCTCCAGACCCCATGCAGCTGATTGAGGACATCACAAGGTGAGTCAGCATCTTTAGGTGGAGTGGGCGAGGTTTTATGTCCATTCATACCCCAGCTGTGCCTCCAGAAATCAGGAACATTGCTTTTTCCCAAGGGATCAGTTTTACGTTTTCAACTTTGTTTTTGGCCCCTTTTCTGTTATAGTTCCTAACATGATGATGATAATGGGTTTGATTTATAAAGCACACAAAGCACTTTTCATTATGCATGTACTCACTCAGGGCTGGTAATGGTAAATTACTACATAGCCACAGCTGCCCTGGGGCAGTAAAACGGGGCAAGGCGGCCATTTAGCAGCATCACCCCCTCTGACCACCTCAGACAGGCAAGTTAGGTGAAGTGTCTTAGCCAAGGACGCATCAGCAGAATTCCCTGGACAACTGAGCTACTACTGCCCTAGCACCTATGTAGCTGTATGACACTGTAGCGTGCTAGCCAATGTAGCGTGACATTTTTATTATGAAAAACTAGGCAACTTTTAGCTTTAATGGTTATTTATTGGCTACAAATTCACACTAGCTCAGGGTCACCAACAATCTGGGAAACCCCCATGAACAACAGGTCGAGAAGCCTCTCTCCACAAGCTCTCTGCAAGGCAGCTCTGACAGCCGACAGAGAAAAGGCTGCGATCACGGACAACAGTTGCCATCTAAATGTTTCCTGACGAGAACCAAACCCGACTCTAAACAGAACAACTCCTAAAATGAAAGTTGCTAATGGGACAGAACATTCTGTCTGTTACCATAGCTGGTTCGGCTCACTTCCTGTTCAGCTGCTCCAAGTGGAGAACACATGGACAGGGTTAGGGTGTGAGGACAGTTTGATGATCACAGTGATTGGTTGGAATTTTTCCAGGATTTCAAAGGGGATTCAAGTTATTAATATTTTTTGACAAAACATTTAATTTATTGGTTACCATCAGCATGTGAAGAGCACTTCAAGCAATATGACAAAAAATCTGCAAACATTTCTCCTATTGCACCTTTAATGTAAGTGTTATTCATGTACTTGTTTGCATGTAATGTCATTTTTTTCTCATTAGAGCAATTCAAATCTCATTTAAAAAATAGTAAAATAAAATAAGGTGCAAATGAAGCCTAGTTTTGTTCCAAGCTACTTGCTCTCGTTTTGCAGATACTACCTGTGCTTACAGCTGAGGGATGATATTGTTTCGGGTCGCCTGCCTTGCTCATTTGCCACCCACACGCTGCTGGGTTCGTACACGGTGCAGTCCGAACTTGGAGACTACGACCCGGAGGAGATGAGCAGCGAATATGTCAGTGAGCTGCGCTTCGCACCAAACCAGACCAAAGAGCTGGAGGAGAAGGTCGTGGAGCTCCATAAGACCTACAAGTTAGTGTCATCGTCTGGAGTTGATCTTCATGGTTAAGGGCAAATACGTTTAGGTATTTGCTGTTTAGGAATTGTAGTTTGGATTTAAATGTTCAACAATTGACTTAAAAATAACAAGAATTAAAAGATAATTTTTCACTTTTTTTTCCATAAAGGTTTTCATGTTCCTCCATTTTTACAGGAACATAATTATTTCTGTGTGATTTGTTGTGGATTGACAGTGCATGAACATGAATCTCTCAGACATCAGTTTGTTTTATAATTAGATGCACTTATGAATTTTCAGCGAAAAGCAGCTAAAATTGTTCAGACGCAGAACCATCAGTTACCAAAGTTTAGAATGTACAGTAAAATCTTTCTCTTTCCTCGAGCGTTGCATTAGAAATGAGTAGAATTGTGTTTTAAAGTGATCATTTTGTGTCTGAAATGTCCAACTTAGGGGGATGACACCAGCTGAAGCAGAGCTGCACTTCCTGGAGAACGCCAAGAAGCTGTCCATGTATGGTGTCGACCTCCATCATGCCAAGGTAATGAACCACAGCTAATTAGCTCCGTGTGTTTTGTAGGTTTTATAAAGCGTCACATATAAAGGATGTTTCGTTCCTGTGAGCAGATGGTGAAATAAAAGCATAAAATAAGTAAAATATCTGTGCTAATGTTAGTGGTTAGTCACTCCTTATGTTTGAGATTCTCGTGGAAAATGTTGTAAGGCTGCAGATGAACATCAGCTACCAAATGTCTGTGGCACAAGGACGTTTCAGACATTAGTTTCCATTTTATTTTCAGTGCTTGATAACAAAGTCTTTATTTTAGCACACCTGTAACTGAGATGTGGACAGGGCCGGAGTGGGACACATTTTCAGCCCTGGAGTTTCAGACCCCAGACCGGCCCACTTAACGAATTATTATTAAAATCATGTTAGAACTTTATATGTATAGTCTACAAAAGCACACTACTTAGTAAAGCCTTGTAATTCAGTGCAAGAAAGAGTTGCTTTACAATGTAGGTTTATTTGAACATCAGTGCACATCTCCAACATTGTTCTTTACAACACATTCTCTAACAATATAACAATCTACATTCTGTTCAAACAGCTGTTCTGAGATTTTCAAATCTTTAAAATGAAATGACTCAGCACTCCCTTTCACACTTTTTCCAGTTTTCCTATACTCACCTGCACACAATTAAAATAATCATCTGTAAAGCTTTAGCACATTTGATATGGAAAACACATTTTTTGGAACCAATTAAAATATTTTCTATGGCAAAATATGCAGGCTTATTTAATTTTACTTTCATTCTAATAGCGATCTGTTGTGGGCTTTGTGCATTTACTAATAAAAATACATCAGGTCACTACTATTATTTGGACATTAAAATTATTATAATGAAACTGATGTTTGCACATGAGTTGGCTAACCTTCTATCCCAACAGGAGCAATACCCTCACTGCTGGCTCCTGGCTCTTCTTCTGACACTACGTTGTGTGAAAATGGTCACAATTCAGCATTCATTTTCCTTTTTTACACGTTTTCTGATCAATGCTGAATCATCTAGCATTTTAGGACACTTTCATATAGAGCCAGGATAGTTTTCATCATATAAATTTTAATAATATTCAGTTCACTGACTCAATAAGTAATCCTACCTGTACATGCCCGCTCTGGAATGGTGGGTTTCTGCCTGGTGCTTATTAGGCCTACTGGATCTTGTGGGCTACAAGACAGTTTGGTGGCATCAGTCACATCATACTGTTAACTATATTACATAACGTTATGTCATGACGCCATATAATTCATTATTGATGCTTAATTAACTTGAATGGTGATTTGCAGCCGGTAAAGTTTAACATCTTGACTTGCCTTACCCGTTTTATCTTCATTTGAAGTTAAAGACCGCGAGCTTGTTTGAGAAAAAAAGGTGCTCATTTTTGCACATTTAGCTGCATCTGTTTCCAGCGCTTTCCTCTTTTTAATTCTTGCCTTCTCCGCGCCACCCTTGCTCTTTCTACTTTCCATCTTTCCGTCACCTGCGTGGTCACGTGGTGCGCACAGGCGCATACAGGGGAAAAAGAAAAAAAAACGAGCTGCAGCCTGCAGGTAGAGACAGCCGGGAGGAGCGTATGAGATCAGCCCGGCGGCCTCAGTGCCATGACTGAACACCGGCACCAAAAAATAAAAATAAAATGATAAAAAGCAAAAACGAGAGCACCGGCCCATGCGGCCCAAACATCGCGCGGCCCACCGGGAATTCTCCAGACCCTCCCGATTAGCCACTCCGGGCCTGGATGTGGAGTATAATTAAGCTTTAAATATGCAGGAAGGCAGATTTTGTTACTGAGTCATGCTAGTTGTGTCTACTAGCTATTAGCTTCATGTTTACAGTCAACACAAATAGACTAATTAGCAAAATGTCAAATAGCAGCTCCTCTAGTTTTATGTTTAACTAGATTTCTATCAGAACAGCATTAATTTTATTATGTCTGCCTAACGGACAGCTGACCAGAATCTTACCGTTACCATTCGCTAACACGACATTCAAAACTCGTAGCGGAGTTGTTTGAGCAATATGAGAAAAATGAAAGTTCACATTAAAATCACAATCATAGCTCTGCACACATTGGGCTGCATCGCTGGCCTCGTTCGCTGATTTGAGCCAAAATTGATGTCATGCATAGATTTGCACACAAACAGAAAGAAAAGTGCATCAAATCTCATTTGTGCAAACAAACTGAAGGAACGAGAATGTTATTGTTTATTGTTTCAGAATAGGGCTGCAACAACGAATCAATAAAATCGATAAAAATCGTCATCGATTTGTTGTGCTGCGCAACCTTCATCTAACAGTCAGTGCGTGCAGCTCGTCTGTAGGTGGCAACAGAGCAGACCGAGGCAGATCAGAACGAGCGAGAAAGCCGGTGTTTTGATGATGAACGACACACTTGAACAGTAAGTTGCTTAATGACCAGTGTTGGGAAAGTAACTTTTAAAAAGTAATTAGTTATAGTTACTAATTACTTTGTCAAAAAAGTAACTCAGTTACTGAGTTATGAGATTATAAAAGTAACTAATTGCCTAGAAAAATAACTACTTAGTTACTTTTTTCATTAAAAAATGCAAGAAAAATGGGTAAATTGAACTTACTTAATTTACTATAAATTACTAAAATAGTGAAATATAAATGACTAATGACGGGAACATAATAAAATGTATGTCCAAATGTTTTTATAAACCTGCATAATTTAAATAAATAAGCACTTAACAGGAGACACTACAAATATGAACATTTCACGTATCTAGACTATTAAAAGGTCACTGTGTGATATTTAACAAGACCCCAGTCAGCTAAAATTTAAAATTGCAAATAGAAACACCTGTAAAGGTTCCCGAGCCTTTAAATGGTTTCTCAGTCTAGTTAAATTACAGAAATGAATGTAATTTTGCACAGTGTTTTAAATTTTCCAGCTTCACATAATTGTGTGTTATTAGTAGCATTTCTGTTGCTGCTAATCTAGTAATGGTTCAATAAATAAATAAAATCCTGTAAATGACACTAGAAGAGGCACAAGCCTGATGGAGGACTTACATTTACTAACTTGGGTCAGACCCAACCACAGAAGAGCTGAAGCTGGGTGGTAAACACACACAGGTAGTTCCAATAACACCTGAGCTCCATGACGTTTGAGACTGATGCATCAGTGTTACAGCGGGACTAAAGATATGATCAGGAGCAGGTTACAGCTGGATGATCTAGGAAGGCAGAAGATCAGGACGTCTGGGCGGTGAACAGGTGAGCGGACCTTCGGGATGTCACGCTAAGAAGCCGTAGACTATTCATCACGTCTTCCTCGTTCTTCACGGGCCGTGATGCGCTTGGATGAAAACATCTGCTTCTTTAGCTCCTGATCAGCTGATGACAGCTTCAACACACCGCGCAGCTTAACGCACGCATTTCCTTACCAGTAACAGAAACGACGTTTTGATAAAATAAGACGGTAATTAATTAGTTTGCTCATTACTGAAAGAAATTATTTTTATTAACGCGGTTATTTTAAACGGCGTTATTCCCATCACTGCTCTGTTGGGTCTACAGCATGCAGTGACTGAGACAGTGAGGGTCTCCGCCCACCCGGCCAATCATCATCGTGTTTGTAAGAGCGTTACCGACACCTCTCTCTCCCTGGCTGCAGCTGAAGAGTGGCGGTCAGAAAGCCTCACACTGTTGCTCAACGTTCGACAAACACATAGTAACGCACAACCTTCCGTCCCCAGTAACATAACGGCGTTGCAACAGTGGGAAAAGTAATTAATTAGATTATTCCATTACCCAAAAAAAGAATGCCGTTAGTAACGCCGTTATTTTAAACGGCGTTATTCCCATCACTGTTAATGACACACCTAATCTAGGTGGTGTGGAGGAAAACAGAAATCAGCAAAGACACAAAGGCAGAAACGGTTTGGGATCAAAAGTGCCGCAGCGGGCAGATTAGCGAGTAACAGGCTCACCATCAAGTGGGGTTCTGAAAAAACATGATGGTTGTGAAACTAAGAACATCTAAACTCTACAAGCGGAAGAAAAGTCCCACCATCCAGTTTATTCTTAGCTGTTTGCAGGGAGCACAACCACTGCTGTCTGGTTTGAGTCTGCTCTGCTAAACACCGCTGCAGGGTTATGGCAAGCCACTTTAACATGTAATTCACAGGCGCGTCTGTCTGTGAACATAATTTTAATTGGATTGTTGTTAATCTGTATGTAATAAATATGTCACCAATACATTTTTGCAGTAGAAATTTTTAATCATGTTTTGTTGTTAAATAAAGTAAAGATAGGAAAGAAAACATGTTTCCCAGGCAGTTTAATCTGATTAATCGAGTCGAGACCCCATCCGATTCATCGATGATCCAAATAATCGTTTGTTGCAGCCTTATTTCAGAAGTGTCTAGCTGTGGATGAAATGTCCTGTAAATGATCTTTTACACATTCAAGAGTGATTGGCAGGCTGGTAGAGTTCTGAGTGAGAAATGAGCCTTTTAGCTTTCCTGGAAACATCTTTACTCTAAACCTCTGGGCTGGGACTATCAACAAAACAAGATGTAATTTCCTCAAAAGCCCGCTGAGTAAATGGGGGTAGAGGTGAACAGTGCAAACACACTGTTGTCATCTACACTCTGGGTGTTTTTCAGCCTGTATCTGTGCATCAAAGCATCTTTGCTGTGTGGACCCAGCACCTGCTTGTTTTCCCTCTGGAGAGTCAGCATAGCTGTTTTACTGGAGAAGATGCTACTGCCTCTTAAATGAAATTTATCACAACTGTTTTTTCTGCAGGTTTGTAAAATATGCAAGCACCTATTTAGTCTGTAACAAACATGACAAACTTTTATTTACTAGACCTATAAATGTGCTTAGTTGTCCATTCAGAACCTCAACTCGACTCAGTGTAGCTTAAAACATCAAATTTTGCATCACCCGTTCCTTAAAATGTGTTTTTCTACTAAAAACTCCTCCTTTATGTGTCTTTTTAATAGTAGGTGTATTCACTGCATCCCCCACATGAGAATTAAACCGATTTCACCCATGCAGTTTCTTTTGATGCTTCCCACCACAACACTGCTGCTTCACAAACATCATGGCTGCTGCGGTGATGCCTTGGTTTGACACACTGATTGACTCGCATCGTATCACCGCCGTCTCTGTGGGTTTGCAGATCTGGAGCCCAGCTTGACTTTTTGTTTTGTTCCACCGGCATCAAATGCATCATCAGAACACCGGCAGGAAAGAGAGAGAGAGAGAGAGCTGGAGAGTCGTGGCCATGAAATGAAAATATCAATCTCTTTTCAAAAGTGCTTTGAAAGTCAAAAAAAGGGCTCTAGATGTGAGTGATGGGGAGGATACTGCCGTCCCAGATCCGAACGGACGAGATGACAGAGATGAGGAAGCAGCTTTGATCAAACTGATTAGGCATCAGTGCTCAGTGTTACTTCTGTGAGTCATAGTTTTGATGCACAAAAAGCAAAATGTACATATCAGAAGAGCATCCTCTTTTCTCTTCTCTCCTCTCATTAAATGCAAAGTTGGTAGGGAATCTCTATGAAAGCTTGGCTCCATCTGAGGGAGAGGTAAGAGGCTGCTTCCCATGTGCTTCCACTACCTGAGTGAGTGTGTTTTCCACTAGTGCATGGTTACACACACACACACACACACACAGTTGTCATTTTCAACAGCCCATTTGTCTCTCCGGACTGGTTGTTCCTGCTTCGGATCAGAGCTTTCCTCATTGGTTTCACCTGGTCATTTCACGCTTCTGTGCAGTGAAGAGCCGAATGTTCCCTCAAACTTCACTGTTGCTTTTGTCAGTCGGGCTCCTTCACGTCCTTCATCATCATCACAGCGTGCATAGAGGAGATTAGAGAAGCACATGCCTGATTTTACTCTGCCTGCCTGCTCGACCCTCGTTTTAAGTTTCTACGTTGTCCTGCTGTGCACCTGAACATGTCCTGTATGTACTGTAGAGGTTGTAAACTTTTTTTGGCTTTCTAAAAAAGTTGTCAGAGAATGAAAGGTTAAGTCTCCCACAAAGTAACTCAAGTGTCTGTGATGTTTTGCTATGTTTCAGGACTCGGAGGGTGTGGAGATAATGCTGGGCGTCTGTTCGAGCGGCCTCCTCATCTATAGAGACAGGCTGCGGATTAACAGATTCGCTTGGCCCAAAATCCTCAAGATCTCCTACAAGAGGAACAACTTTTACATCAAAATTCGACCCGGAGAGGTACAAACCACAAAGCTTTTACTGCTTTTTCATCTCAAAGGCAGAATCAGAAGAATTCGAATAATCTGTTATTGAGACAAAAATGTATTCACGTTGTTTGTGATTTGTTAGGTTTTTTTCATTCTAACATACATTATTTATCTTATTTATTACATTTTATTACACTAAGTTACTGGTTCGTATCCAAATTTTCTAAATAAAAGCCCTTAGGTGTTGATTCTTACATTTTGTAAGGGTTTATATTATTTATCGGGGCTTAATTGACTGAAAAAATGGCCTTTTAGAATCAGATTAGTGAAAACGTTTCCTGCTGGATCCGCTGCAGCAGTGGAAGCAAGCAGTTGTGTCACATAGTACAGCACCTTGGAGCATCCTGTGGAAGGTCATTTGTGTATTTTGTTGTGAAGAGAGGCGTTTGTTTTTTAGTTCTGTTGTAGATTTTTATTTTGCTTCAGTTCCAGATAAAATGAACTGAAGGAAACACTCGTAGACTTTTCTAATTTGTTTTTTGTAATATTTTCTTAACCTAGCAGGCAAATCTTTCTTATGTCTATCACTTAGTTTGACCTTAATTTGACCCAATACGGCAAAATAATCTGACATTATCTTATTTCACAGTGAAAATACCTGCTGATTAAATCCACGGAGCCTCCACACCAGCATGTGGTGTTTGTGTTATTGACACTCCCTTTATAATTATGATTATATTATAATTATGATTATAATTATAAAAACTGACAATTGGCATTTTCTGTTGAGCCAAACCATGACTTCTGCATCCCGTCTCACCTGGTCCAAATGTAAAAACCTTCAACTACGTTTTACTTGCTGACTCTTCGTTCGGGATGAAGGAGTTTATCAGACACAGTGAAGTTGCCGCGTCTGCACCCGAGCTGTACTTTCCACTTCAGCACTCTTCACCCGTCAGAACTATCTTTTTTAATCTGACTTTACTCTGCCGAGTGTGCAGCTTCTTGATGCAGGATTAAAAATTGAACCGGGACACTGAAATTTGGTATGGGTGAATAATTCGTGTTGAGATCTGGGGCAGAAATAACGGCACCGGCAGAGCACTTTATTTAAAAGTAATGAGTTAAGTTCCTGTAAATTCAGGGTGGGTTTGATTAAATCAGTGGTTTAAACTCAGCGTTTTCTTTGTGTCACAGTTTGAGCAGTTTGAAAGCACGATCGGTTTCAAGCTCCCAAACCACCGCGCTGCCAAAAGGCTATGGAAGGTCTGCGTGGAGCACCACACCTTCTTCAGGTAAAATGTTAGAGATTACTTTTTTAATTCATCTTGGACTGAGAGACCCTCTAAAGGCTCAGGAACCCTTTGTAGGTGTTTTGGATTGGCTGATTGTTAGTGTGACACTTTGAGTCTAGAGAATTGAACCAAATTGTCTGATATTTTGAATGAGGTGTTTTCATAAACTGTAAGCCATAATCATCACATTTATAAGAAAGGCTTTGCCTGTAATGATATGCAATGATCTCATATTATTATTTCACTTTTTAGGTTGAATTACTGGCATCAAGGAACTTTTGCATCATATTCAAATTTTTCAAGTTTGGCCTGGATGTGGTGCCGTCTGTAGCTTGTAATTATAAATAAATGTCAGATTCAGCAAAGTCTGAATAACCCCCAGATGCCTCGGAGACATTCTTTAATTTGAGGGATCACAGTCAAGCCAGCCTTGCAGTTTACTCCTCATCACTACTTTATTTCATAGCAGTAAAAAAAAGTGTGTTGAAGCTGTTAGTAGTTTGAATCTCACACAGAGTATCTGCTTTAAGCAGAAATTGGTCTCTTGGGGCTTTTTGAGTAGCAGACCCAGCCTGAGGGCTCCCGAGAGACGGTTGGGATGAGTAGGAGGTTTAGAGCTTGTCGGCGCTTGGCTCCTGGCTTCATTTTATTTGTGGTTTTGATTAATGAGTGTGTTTGTAACTTGTTACAGGCTCGTGTCTCCTGAGGCGCCCCCGAAAAAGTTCCTAAGCCTCGGCTCCAAGTTCCGCTACAGCGGCAGGACGCAGGCTCAGACCCGCAGGGCCAGCGCTCAGATCGGCAGGCCGGCCCCGCTGTTCGAACGCACCTCCAGCAAACGCTACAACATGTCCCGCAGCTTAGACGGAGGTGAGACACCCAAACGGGCGGATTGGTGGTTTTTCCTTTGGTTGAAGGTGTGAACAGGGCTTTTGTTCGGTTTTGGAGCCATAAATTGCGTTTGTGCTTCTGAAAGCTGATGCCATATCGCCCATGTGCAGAAACAACTCAGAGCTGCTCACATTTACCAACGAGCATTTCACACCGACGTTTACCGTCCGTGAAACATCACAGAGCAACGTTTGTCTCATTCGTCTCTGTCCACCGATGTTTCAGCACCCATTATGGAGAACCACGAGACCCCGGCCAAGGACGGCACCGCTGACGGCGCTGCCAAAGTCATTGCCAAGGGGGACATCATCACCACGGTAACGACAGAGAAAAAGGCAGAGGAGCAGGGGGAGCAGGAGGATTTTAAGAAAGATGCCACAGAGACGACGGAACCGGCCACTCCCCTCAGACTCGACACAAAGGTAAACCTACGTCCAAAGGGGAAATGGCTGCCTCTTTAAGCCGTTACTTCTTGTTGTTTTTGTTTATTTTCGTATTCAACACTTGAACGGCGGTCGTGAATTTCCCAGTTGCTTTCAGCTGAACTCACTGCCATAGACAGGCTGTTGTGCTTCTCATCCTGTGTGCGCTTTACTAATCCACTTTTCTTTTCTTGTCCTTCCTTTGACCCCACACTTTACTCGTGTGTGTGCTCATGCGTACCCCCCCTTCCACTTCACCTCTCTGCATTTACACACACGTCGTCTCCTCGTTGACATTTCCCTCCATCAGCGCTCTCATGTGTACACAGACGACCCCCTCCGCTCCGAGCTCTCGCTCCCTTCATCTCCCGCTTCATCCAGCAAAGTGCGGCGCAGGCGCAGGGAGAGCGCTCGTAAGCGGGCCTCGTCCGTCAGTCCAGTCAAGAGCAGCACTGGTTGCCGGCGGCTACAGGCCCACGCCGACCGCAAAGCCGCCCTGTTGGAGGAGCAGGCGCTGTTGCTCTCAGCCCGCAAGCAGAGGCTGGAGCAGGGGAAGCAATGCGGTGGCACGCTCTTCTCCTTCTCCCTGCACCTGCCCGACTTGTCCTCCATCCTGGATGAAGACGGCTACCTCACCTTCCCCGATCTGTCTGAGATGCGCTTCCTCCCTGAGTGCGCACAGAACTTCCTCCCCATTAAATCCCCGTCTCTCATCCCCTGCTTCCTTTTCATCTTCTTCTTCCTGCTCTCCACCTCCTTCTCCGTTCCCTACGCTCTCACCCTCTCCTTCCCTCTGGCGCTGTGCCTCTGCTACCTGGAGCCCAAGGCAGCCTCCCTGACCGCCTCCATAGCCCAGGGCTACCATGACCATGACAGTTCAGAGGAAGAGGAGGTGTGTGTGTGTGTGTGTGCGTACGCCTGTTTGTTCCAGTACCCACCTCTGGCTCAGAACGACAGTCCATTATACCTGTTAACACCTGATCCTGTCCTGTAACCGTTTCACCAGTTCAGAGCCGACCTGGAGACAGCGTGTCCCAGTGTCTGTCAGTCTCCTACTTTCAGAACCTCATCTCTGACCCGGTCACGATCTCACCTTCACCAGCATCACAGCTTCATCTGCAAGTCTCATCTTTGATTGGCTGTTTCACCTCAAAAGAGAGGGTTACACACAAATGGTGGGATCGCTTTACTTGCATGAGCTTCACTGACATTTTACCATGATTCAATGAAGTCACCTATCTTCATTTAGAGACTAATCTTTCGGTGAATCCATGGCTTTGTGCCTAGCCCATCTCAGTGTTACCCCATCATGTCCAAATGATGACTAATACAGTTCAGTCGGAGCTTGGAAACATCAGCTGCATAAAGCCTTTTCCGTATTTATCTCTGCTCTGTCTCTGTGCATCGCTCCCTGCCACAAATTAAATGAATTGTTTCAATCAAACTTTTACTGAGAGGACCTCTTACCGTTTCAGTGAGCAGGATTGTTGTGATCAGATGAGGTGATCGCTGTGTAACAGGATCCAGCTGTGATGCAGAGAGACAGCGACGCATCCACATTACCCACAGTGCATGAAGGGACAGGAGGGGGAGGGCCTGAAAGTCAGGTTGCTGTTCGGCCTCAAAATCATCAGAACAAGCATTTTTAATGAAGTTTGTTCTGCAAACAACACATAAAATAAGTCAAGGAAACTAACGTTTACCAGGCTACAGCTAATTCAGATCCATCTCGTTGAAAAGTGACCGACTGATGGTTTCTACTTCCTCTGAGTCTGTTTTGCTTGCTTCTCCAGTCTCTGTCTTTGCTCCTTATGTTTTAGTTGCGTTTCTGGTCGTATCTGTACCGCTGTGTGATAGCGTTCAGCTTACAGTCCCAACAATCAGAGCATCTCCATCTGTCCCATTTGTGGTAATGACTCTGTGTTAACGATAAAAGCACTTTTCTTTTCAGATGTTTACATATTGGGTCTTTCTTGTTTCTCTTGCTTTCGAATTGGATTTTTATTTTTATTTTTTTTTGGTTTGGTCTGTGAACGCAGACCGACAGCGAGCATACGGACTTTGCCTTTGATGGAGAGATGACGGCAACAGAGGTTTGTACATCCAGTCTAATAAAGGGAACAGACTCGTTGTCACTTTAAAAAGTTTGTGAACTCTGAGAGCTGCATATTTACCTCCACTGGGTTATTTAGCATTTTTAATTATCTCACTAAATAAACTTTTTTTCTGCCATTTTCTTTTTAAAAATTGAGGAAATCTGGCTGCAGGTGTTGAAATTATCAAATTGGGCCAACTCAAAGGGTCAGAGTTCATTTGGGGGGTGCATCTAGTCCCAATGCATTTAAGAATATTGACTTTGACTTAGTGTTCTTTTACGTTTAGCATTTCCATTAGAGGCCGGTTTCAAACCAGAGCCATCAGAGCGTTGCTACGTAGAGACGAATGTAAAAAAGGAAGAAAAGAAAAGCAGGGAGGTATAAAATCTCAAAAGATCTTTCTATAAACAAAAAGATGTTGTGAAGACCACCCCGCTTGGTTCTTCTTGAAATAATCCTTACTTGTGGCTCACAGCTGGACTCATACAAGCAAAAGTAAACAACCAAACCTGGAACCAAACCATCAAAATGTTCAGATATTGATTCAGAGAACTAATAAAACAGAAATAAGCATCAAAACTACAAAGACTCTGGAGGCAAACATAGCTAAAGCTGAAAACTCACTGGGCTAAATAGTCTTGAGTTAGTTTTTTGATGAACTGATACATAAAATACTTCTGTGAGAAGTATCATGTTTGGTTGGGGTTACGTTGGGCATATGTGCAAACATATGGTAAATGGCTTGAATTTTAATAGTGCCTTGTATGGCACCCCCGCCCCCCACCCCCCAAGGTGCTTGATGATGGCTAAAGCAAGGCTTGATGAGCACTCCCTCCAGCCAACACCATCAGGAAAGGTGGGCGAAGTGTCTTGCCCAAGGACGCAACTGCACACTAAACCCCTCTGCCACCATCGCCTCAGGACTTTGCAGCCGTGCAAAAGTACCCGTCACTGAAACCAAATGGAGAATTTCCGGATCCCTGATGATTGCAGCTATTTTGACAGGAAGTTTGTTGCATACTTAAAATTGTGTTCCATATTTAAGCAGCAGCAGAACGAGACCAGCGACTTGTTCAAGGAAACTGAGAACCCTCGCGATCGTCTGGAACTCACGCACAAACACCATTCACAATTTTGCACCAGTGGCTGCAGCCCAGTGAGAAACCGTCTCTCTCGTTGTCTTGCACAAGTAGATTCATGTGCTAAACGCTAATGTATGTTTAAATGCATTGAATCTAGACACCGCTCCACTCAAACTTTGACCCTACAAGTTTTCTTCTGGCTTGAGCTTCTAGTTTTCACATGGTTTTTGATCAGATGAGTAAATATTAGGGATGCGAATCTTAGAGCAACTCACGATTTGATTTGATTCTGATTCTTGGGGTGCCGATTCGATTCAGAATCGATTCTCAATTTAAATCGATTCACAATCAGTATTAACAAAGAGTGTCGGCTCCAGGATTACCTTGTTGTACAAGTTAGTTAAAGCTCTGGGACATTTTTCTTTTACTTTAAACTGGTCATGCTTCAAAAATGCAAATTTACAATGTGATTCTAAAACTAAACAGAAGCAATCTTTTGACCAAAAAGCAACATTTATTTTTGCTTACCTTGTAAAATATAACAAATCTGTAGTTACCTAACAGTAGCTTTGAGAGTAATACGGTCAAATACTTTTCAAGTATGTGTAGAAACAAGTTACATGAGTAATCCTGAGTACTCAATTATCAACTTAGAAAATAAATATGAGAATATCTCAAATTTCTGAGTATGGAAAAAATTACATTCAAGTGCCCTCTTATCAGCAGATTCAAACATAAATCATCTCAATTTATGTGACCACAAAAGTAATCAGAGTACTGACTCCTAACAAAGATCAGAAAAGTGCATCTCAAACCCGTAACATGCCAAATATTTGAGTTCTTGGAATCGATTCTGAATCTTTATATATAAGAATCCCGATTCAGACTTGAATCGATTTTTTTCAGCACCTCTAGTAAATATGTTGCATATCGTTATTACAGCCATGCGTGTGCTAACTTAACAAGTCCAAAGCTGTACAGATGTTTGTTGTCAGTAAACGTTGCTGAGAGTTCTGGCTCAGTTCCTTATCACTGAGCTGTTTTCTGTCCCTCTCTCATCTCCGTTCCTTCTTTCTGTCTTCTTTTCTTCTGCATCGTTTCTCTTTAACAACTATTTGCTGCTATGTTTCACTTTCTGTGCTCTCCCTTTGACCTGTCGTCAGTCGGAAGCTGACGAGGACTCTGAGATGCGGACTCAGGTACCACGGGGACCCCGCTCAGTGCATCGTAACACCATTAGATGCACTAATCCTTCACCTTCCTGCTGCTGCTGTTTACACCCCTCCCCCATCATTAAACACAGCAGACCTACAATTTACTCCTCCCCAATCCATCCCTGATTGCTGTTTCAAGTTTTTTATAGGGAGTTCATGCAGCTGCATCCATGTTTTTAGGTTTTTTTAAGTTGTACATTTGTCCTGGGCTTCTACTTTGAGCAAAAAGGTCTTTTTTTCCTCATGTTTTTATTGTTTTACAGCAAAACTGTTAAAAACAAAACTCCCATTTTCTCCAAACAGAAGCTGTAATCCAACACACTTAACACCAAAACGTGCTATATCTTTTACAATTCCTCTGCGTTTTTCTTGTCTTTGCAGTATAGTTTCATAAGACGAGTAAAAGGGGAAAACGTCTTTATCAGACATAGTAATCTGATGCTAGAGGTTGGTAAGCAAACGGTGCATGTTTGAAATCGCATGCAGGTGTTTATTAGGTATGAAGATTATTGGTTGTTGTTCTACTGACTGTGTGCTTTGGTTTTCTTGTTTGAATTAGTTCTTGCTGAGAGTTTGAACACATTTTCTAACAAATATCCCAGGAGTGAGTCTGTGTTGACGTCTAATGAGATGTGGAAGTTTTGTGTTTAACTAAGCTGATCAATTGATGTATGAAACCATTTGTTGTCATTGAATGCAGTTGACCTTAAATGCTCCTGAAGTATTTAAGTTCAAACTACGTCATCGGCTGCCGTTAAGTCGGACCTTTTCTGTTGTTTTGCTGGTTTGCTGTGCAGAAGCTTTAAAACAGGAACAATAAATATAAAAGGAATAAGGAAGTAAGCAATGCAAACGTTGTAGGTCTGCAGAAAATCATTCGACATGCAAGTTACCGCTGCGTGCATAAAGCATGACCACCGTTCCCTTTCGTGCTGCTCCTTCCCTTCATCTTGTTGTGTCACGGTTCATGGGCCACTCTAGGACACAGAGCCCCCTCCAGATGTGGTCAAACACCAGACGAATGTCAGCGAACTGAAGCGCTCCTTCCTGGAGACCGGCGGCGGCGGCACGCCAGGTCTGACCGAATGGGAGAAGAGACTCTCCTCGTCGCCTCTGCGCTCGCCCAGAGGAGATGAAGCTCCAATGATCGAGCCGCTGGAGCCGCAGGATGTAAGCTGTCTGTGTGGGACATGGCTTCACGTTTATAGAGATGTTGCTGAACGTTCACACAGTACTCAAACATGAACGTACACTACAGTTAAGGCCAATATTCTTCACTTTTTAAACTTTTTCAGCATCAGAATTGGTCTGGTTTTGCACATTTTAACTGATGGAAGTTTTAATTGACCATTTTATTAAAATTTTTGAATTTTAAGATCATTTAAAGACTCTTCTACACACTCAAAGCCTTGCTTTTGGTGTTTTTTGTTCACAAACCAGTTAGGTTGAGGGAGGTCTATGGGCTTTTCCAAGTTCAGGTCCAGATCTTAGCCTTTTCTTTTCCTTTCTCTTTGGATTTTTGTTTTGATTACCAACACGCCGTAACATTTTACCTGGGTGCTCCGTTAACTTGTGATGGTTCTCACAATCTGATCGGTTCGTTCAGGGCTGACGGGAAGCACCGATGAAGCCATGAGTTATTTCCTGACCTTTCAGACCCAGAGCTTCCAGTTACCAGTTTGTTGTGGGAATGATTTAAACGTGACCCTTTTATTTGTTTCCGTCCACAGACTGAAGACGAGCTGCCTGTTGGAAACGAGACCAAAGACGAGGTGGGACCCAAAGGCACTGTGGTAAGCTACTTCCTGGTCATCGTTCCTGGGGATTTCTGCTTGGTGTTTCCAGGTCCACGTGTGCATGCCTCACATTTTATACCTGTGTTTTTCTACCTCATTTAAGATAATTGACTATTTTACAGCCTTTCTATCAATTCGTTCCAACTGGAAACTTGCTTGTGGTGCTCGCTCTGTGTTTGTGTTGTTCCAACATGTGGAGAACCTTGTTGTCCCATCGTGTGCTGCTTGTGTGATGCCCTCTGTGCGTTATCCTTTTCCATTAAGTCACATGTCTCCCCAGGCAGCGGGATATCTGGTGAAATACGTTGCGGGTAGTATTATAACTGATGGGGCCACCTCCTCTGGGCCTCACGGCATTAGTTTGTCAACCACTATGGACGACGACGTCTTCGTGGACGGAACTCTGAGGGATGGGGTGGAAGACAAAACCCCAGACTCCCATGAGGAGGTGCTGGTGGTGAAGGTCAGCCCGGGAGCTGTGAGACAGGAAGTGTCCCAGGCCATCAGCGACAAGAAAGGCACGCTAATCATCTTCAGGGAGGCGGAGGATAAAACGGACGACGAGGACAACGAGACGGCCGTCCCAGAGGAGTTAGAAACCGGCGAGAAAGATGCAGAAACTTTTAAAGAAGACTCTTCTGTTGATTTAAAAAGCCAAGCTGCTGCGGTCAAGATTCTGAGCTCAAAGGTGGAGATTAAAACTGGCGATGAGACTCAGATTAAAGGCATCGACTCGCCTAAGAAAGCCATGGTGTCGTGGATCTCTGAGGAGGAGACGGTTACAGAGGTCACCGGGGTGAAGGAGGTGGACGAGATCAACACTTCCAACGGGCTCCAACAGGAGGCAGAAATCTTCACCTTCGAAGAGGTCCAGTCCAGTCAGCTGAAGTCTAATCTGACTCAGATTACAGTTTCTGAACCCTCAGCTGCAGTGGTACTGTATAAAACCCTTCCTCCACCCCTCCCACTGCCTCGTCCCTCATGCAGCCACGCCAGTCTAACAGCAGCGTAACCGATCTGCGTGCATGGCTAACATCCCTTAGTGTTGAAACCCATCGGTTTCTGTCAAACCTGCAGCTTCTTTCCCCTTTCAACACAAACAGATTTTGGTTTGTTTGGTTTTTGTTGGCAGCTGAATCAGCCGTCTATGCCTGAGCAGCTGACTCCCACAGCCGATGAGGAAAGAAACAGGAGCTCTGTCCCTCCGGCTCTTGTTTGTTTCTCCCCGTCTCGCTCAGCTAAACCATCTCTCCCTTTCACCTCCTCTCGTCAGTTCCCCTGAAAGTGGTGACTTCATAGCTCTGGCTGGGTGCCACCGCTGCAGCTTTCCCAGCCTCATCCTCCAAAATCCTCACCCCCTCCCAAAATAAAAACCTTGAAGACGCATCAGGAAAACATTGTACGGATTTACCTGAGAGATGCTTTCAGAAGCAGATTAGTAGAAAAGTGGATGCCATAATTCTGAAACCAGATTATCAACTTTAGGATTTGTTCAACTTGACACATAAGTCAGAGTAAGCTGCTTGATGGTATTCCATACAATGTTCCTTGTTTATCCTCCCTCTACTTTCTTACTGTTCACTATGACTTTCCTTCTCTATGTTCTTGTATCCATCTGTCCCTCATCAGTCCACACTCGGATGGGTCTCTCCCTCCCAAAAGGTGACCACAGATGAATTTAAGTCTGTTTGTCTGAATTTCTGCAGTAAAACAATCTCCCTGACTTTTTTTTTTCGTCAGGCATTGACCCTAACTGCTCAATAATGTCTAGATCTGTGTTGTCACGGTGATACCCAAGCATCTTTGAACTGTAAACTGATCATTTACAGGCACCGGCTGATCAGGAGGAGAAGGAGGCGGTTGTCAGGGAAACGGAAACTGCAGCAGCCAAGCAGACGGTACAGTTCCACACACTCTGAGCCAGCATGACCTGCATCTGAGTTTATGATGTCTGCAAAATGACAGAAGCAGGGGAGCGAGACCGAGATGATTGAAGCTCAGGGCAGAAATTGGCTGAAAGTAAATAATTCATTCCTCATTTTGCTCCATCTTTTGAGTCTGTGCAGCAGAAAGGATCTATGAAGAGTAGAAGAGGAAGTAGCAGGTGGTGTGCAGAGATGAAACCGGCGGTTTTAGTTTACTGTTGTGTCTGCGTGCAACAATATAAAACAAAATGAAGAAGGGCGGATGTCAAATGAAAAGGGTTGCAGGGATTGTTTGTTGTGTTTAGAAGGTTTAAAACCTTCAGGGGAGAAAAGGTGCAAACAAAAGGAAAAACAAGCCAGTTTTTTGAGAAGGTGCAGTATTTAACACACACACACACACACACAGAGCCCTGTTTTCTTTAGTCAACAAAGCAAAAAAGCATCAGAACATTTTAAAATTTGTGTAAACAGAGCTGGAAGACCTGAAAAGTACTCCAATAAAAGTACTAAACTTGATGTTGGCCCAGACCGAACTCCTTACATCACCTCCTGCTGCGTCTCCGTCGGAGCTAAAACATCCATCTGCCTCGGTGGGCTCAGCAGCTACCCACCGCTCCACTAATCCGTTACTAGGGTTGGGCATCGTTTGATTTTAAACGATTCCGATTCCAATTCCTTGTTTCGATTCCGGTTCTTATCGATTCCCGGTTCTTTCAAGACATGACATGTTTTACATGAGCTAGTTAACCACAGGTCCTACTTGATGAAATAATCTTAACTTCAACATAAGTTTTAATTCAATGAACAATAACATCACCTTCATTTAGACAAAAGCATGTTTTGGAGAAACTGGTGTGATCAGCTCTGAAAAGTGTTGATCACAATTTGCAGATTACGTTTATTTTTCACGGAGATCGGCCGCGGATTCCTCTTCTGGTCGGCATTCTAGGAATCGAAACTAGGAATCAAAATTTAAAAAAATACTTTGAACGATTCCGGGAAACAACTGGAACAGTTGGAACCGGTTCCAATCAATGTGCGATGCCCAACCCTATCAAACTCAACCAAAGACTAGTGAGCTGCAGCTCCGATCAGAAACGTGTAAACGTTATTTACACACTTAATGAAAACCTTGTGATATCTCTGCCCATTACTGGATTAGAGGCTCTAATGCATTTAAACCCTTCAGGCAGCATGTGCTGCCTATTTGTGTTCATTTGCTCACGTGTTCATCGGTGGGATGTTATTTTAGGAGAAAACAGTTAGGACTGAATTCTTCTAAGACGGCACAGATTGCTGTTGTTTGAACTTGGTTCTAACGCAGGTCTGCTGGCTCTTATTTGGACCTGTTGTGTCTTTCTGTGTGCAGAATCTCAACAGCGTCGAGGTAGCTGCCAACGACACGCCAGTGGTCCACACGGAGACGAAAACCATCACCTATGAGGCTGCTGAGGTAGTGGCATCACAGCAGAACCATCATCACTCATTTAAATAGTATTTAGTTCATTTTTGCGTTAATTTTCTTTGCAGACAATTTTAATAAATGTGCAAAAATGATGATTTCACGATTCATTTACTGCTTTCTTTAAAATGGAACATTACAGTTTTACCTGCAACAAGAAAGAGTTTATGCAAAAGAATGAGACGTGAGCTCTGATCCAAAACCTCCTGCAGACGGTTACTGATCGCCTAATCGTTTACAGTCAGAGCTACTTCCTGCTCAGCTGCTTCCAGATCAGTGTTTGTGATTTTAGCCTGCAGCATTTTTCCACCGAGTCATCAGAGAGAGACTTCATGTCTACAAGTCAGCGATGGTTGTCTGCGTTCCCGCCTCCCTGACGCTGCGGCGTTTAATGGTAAAAATGTATTTAAACAGGTGGACAGGAACGGAGATGCAGACCCCGGCGTGCTGCTGAGCGCTCAGACCATCACCTCAGAAACAACCAGCACCACCACGACCACACATATCACAAAGGTCAGAGTTCACCCTTCCTCTCCTTTAGTTTTTACTCAGCTTGATGACTGTTGGTGACAATATGCAAACTGTTTTAATGAGGGAGTTTCCAAAATGTAATGTTGATTCTGCGTCCCCTCATGGGCCTCGCTGGTGTGTGTGTGGGGTGGGGGGGTGGGGGTCTCATATGTGAAGCTGTGTTTTAAAAAGCATGACAACCAAGAGCTTTTGGCTTTAAGAGTTTTAGGGTTTGTTTTTGTTTTCGATCAGACGGTTAAAGGAGGAATATCAGAGACGAGAATCGAGAAAAGGATCGTCATCACTGGAGACACAGACATCGACCATGATGAGGTCATTTCCTTTTCTTTGATCTCATCATTCATCTCTAAACAGTGTTGGTTTGTGACCTTGGTGACCCCGGTGGCTGTGCATTTGCGAGCAGCCAGATTAGATGGGCCATACTGAAAATGTGACAGATGTGGTCAGGTAGCTTCCCTGCTGGAATTCTGACTTACTCACAATCCACCCGCTCTTCCCCGTTCTCTGTCTCCCCCTGCTGCTTCCTCCCGGCACTGCACCCCGTACCTTAGGCTCTGGCTCAGGCCATAAAGGAGGCTAAAGAGCAGCATCCAGACATGTCAGTGACCAAGGTAGTCGTACATAAAGAGACAGAGATCACGCCAGAGGAGGGTGAGGACTGACCCAGGTAAGACGACGAGTCCCCAGACCCCATTCCCTACCCCCCCATCCGGTTTTAGTCTGGGTAGCTTTTCATCTGGATGGATGGTCCCTGCTCTTATCCCACTTGCAGCTTGTGCATCATCCTGTTGTCATTCCAGCTCTGCTCATTCTCGCACAGGAACAGGCTGCTGGTGTGTGTGTGTGTGTGTGTGTGTGTGTGTGTGTGTGTGTGTGTGTGTGTGTGTGTGAGTGCGTGCGTGCGTGCTGGAGAGAAACTAAATCTAAATTTTTAATTAGATTTAAAATGTAGCTCTGGTTTTTCCAGACCTGGGTTCTCATTTATCAAACGTTCGTAGAAACGTTCCTATATTCTATCCTACGAACATGCAGTGGCCTCTCGTACGCACGTTCCTCCACAATCAGCTGTTGATAAATCCCACTTGTGTGTACTCAGGTGTTCGTGCCTGTTGACAGCCATTTACATAGAGAAATGCCCTCAATTAACCATATTTGGTCATGCTATGTCTTCAGCACGTGAGGGGATTCCCCGTGTTTTCCAGAAAAAATAAGAAAAACTTTACGCCTAAGCGCCTCTTGATTTTTATCTTGAGAGGCGCTATAGAAATTATATTTTCTTCTTCTTTAATATCGAAACACTGGCTGCCGAAGCGCCAAAGAACCAAACAAGTTACAGAGGCTAAAAACGCGGTTGGGACAGAGGAGAGGTTCCCGTCAGAAATAAATAAACAAATGGATTTGATCAATCGTAGAGTAACGGGTTGTCGTTTACATTTAAGGAGTCGTTCTGTTTGGAGTTGTCTGAGCTGAGCTGTTGCCTCAGAGCTGTCATTCAGTCTGGTTACCTTGGCAACGTGTATGATCCGGGAGCAGAGGAGGTTCTGGGGGTTTCTCATAGTTGTAAAATAAAATATGAACTGGGATCGGATGGGTGAGGTTTGTCTGGTGCGCCACAAAGGCTCCCGAATCCCAGCATAGCAGAAGGATTTCCTTAGAGATTAGAGCGCTCACGGCCAACGCGGTCCCTCCAGAGACCACGCTCTGTTAAATCCTCCAATAACAGATCAGCCATGACATAATGTCAGATTCCCGTCAGTCACACGTGTCTTTTATTGGTTTTAGCACAAATTATGTGAAAAAGCCGTTTTTCCACTGACAAAATGGCATACAGGATAAACAAAACCTGTGGATGAGGAAGACGTTTGGATGACTGAGACATTCGGTATTTGGCTTCCCCGTTCTGCCACCAGATGCTGTTTGTACGCACAGTCAGAGATGTTCTTACTTTTAGTAACATTTCTACGCACAACTACAAAATGATAAATACCACATGATGCGTAGAATCGTTCCTGCGCTCAACATACGCCCAGATCTGTGCGTATGAACGTTTGATGAATGAAGCCCCTGGATTCTAATCAGATTTGTAACGATGGTGTGAAATGGTCTTTCTCACATTGTTGTGTCCACATTTTCCCAGTCGGGATTAGAGATGACGTTCCTGCTGAACCGGCTTCCTCAGATCTCATCCACCTCACTGTTAACACGCCCATGTGGACTGCAATCTGATCTCATGTGTACTCGGATGTGCTTGGGTCTGTTTTCAGAGGGAACAAACGTGTCTAAAGTCGTAAATATGGGTTTGATCTGGGGAAAAGAAACAGCTGTTTCTGGCTGTGAGGAAAAACTTTCATTTAGAATATCACAGTTGAGGTTGCATCGATTGGTCAGACCTTTTTTTGTTCTGCAACCTTCCCAGCGTTAGCAGGAAGCTTGTTTAGTACCAAAGTGAATCTTTAGCTCTTCCTCGTCGCTGCTAGCAGGCTCATCCTCTCCCAGTCACCTTTCAGCCTTCTCGGCGTCTGATAGGATGCCGAGGCGCGAGGCTCCGGATGAGCAGGCGTGCATGAGAAGGCTGTACGTGACTCACCAGATGGGAATGCCTGGCTTTGTTTCTGCTGCCTCCCTGTCAGCTGTGTGTGTTCTGTTTAATAGCTGTGTGTGAATAGTGCTATTAACACCGTAAACATGCTTCCTGTGAGGGCTCGTCTGTTTACCACCTCAGATACACACGGTTCAGGGAAACAAAAAGTGTCTCATTCTGACAAATGTCATGCTTCATTCAGACTCTGAAACAGGTTCAGCCTAAAGGTCCGGATTCGACCCAAAACAGCCCATAGACCAGAGGTTCCTAAAGGTGAGGACGGGGCTCCACTGTGGGTCACCAGGAGCTACACTGGAGGTCTTGAGAGGATTTCCAGAAGTCGAAATAAAACACAAAAACAATTTCTGAAACTTATTTTTAGCATAATTGTTATGAAAACTCTACTAAAGTATCATGAATGTGTTTAAGTGAACAAGAACTGAAGCCGTTCTTTGTGTCTGGTCTGAATTATTTTGCTGTTTAAGAACATTTAAATCTGAGTTATCTAGGGTCACGTGTCTTAACCGCTGCTTATGACCGAAGTTTATCCATGACTTACACAGAGATGAGGCGGCCAGGTGGGTGAAGTTTCTTGCCCAGGGGCACAACGGCAGAAAGACCTGGAATCAAACGAGCAACCCTCTGATTACCAGACGACCTTTCTGAAAGTCTATAGAAGTATTGATCCAAACCTGTTGGGAAGAAGGTCTGGCGTATTTGAAACCATATTTAGGAGAATTGGGGTGGAGGTAAACTTTTAGCCTTTTTATCCAAATGAATGTTTAGAAATCTGAACTCCAAAGCAGTTTTGAATGAAGCATGACCCTAAAACCTGATCCAACCGGACTAAAGAGTCTGTTCCCCAGTTAGCCTGTGTGTGTCTGTGTGGTGTGTTTTACACCTTCAGAACTTTTGATGTGGGTAAAACCGTAGTCGTCCTTCTCCACGCAGCCTGGCAGCAGAGCCTCAGGCGTAATTAAACATGTGGGAGATACTCACTCCTGACTCATCTCCTCTTCCAGGAATAACACCCAGGAGCTGCTTCTCTCTTCCACCTCCCAGAGGCCAACGCTCACAACTCCACTCACGTCGGGACTCCTGCTCTCCAAACGCCGCAGCTCGCTGCTAAGACGCTACCATCGCCTACAAAACAGTTAGATGCATTCTGCATGAGAAGGGCACGTAGTTGCATTCCCAAACATGACAAAATAATCCAGAAAAACCATCCGATTTTTAAATATATGGTTCTCGATCCGTCTGCACGCCAAATCCCTGTGCAGCAAGCAAACTGTTTGCTTCCACTGCCTTATGACTGATGCTTTTTTTAATGATTACTGAGGATAATTATTGTAGCAACATTTTATTTATGAATTAAAGCCATTACTCCAGAAACTTGTAATTGCTGTAGGCTGTACATGTTAGAGAGCAAACACTATTTAACCTCGCCGTAGAAGAGTTCACCTCGTTTTGCAAAACCAAGCATCGCTTGAGTCCTTCGAGCAGCCGAATGAGTTCTCCATCAGGTGTGCTACTACAGCTGTCTCTGCACCTCAGCACTGTACATATCAACTCCCCCCAGAAACTGCTCATGATCTTTTTAAAGTTGATTTTTGTCGTGTTTGACTTTCATTGTAATATTTTATTGTTTCATTGATTGCTTACACCACTGCATTGTTTTTGTCACAAGGTCTACGTTGGCTGAAGCCAAGGAATCAATAAAAAGGTTTTGTTTTTTACGTGCCTGTGCAGGCTTTGAATGTTTTCTAGGGTAGGTCGGCTCCAGTACAAGTACCACATATGTGTGACTGTGAGGCAAAGGGCTCAGACAGCCGAGTTCTGCCCAAACGAGGTCCAAAGCCAAGAGAGATCAGACGCCCGCGCCACCTAACAATACTCTGTGTCCACTCTGGGCCTCCTCTGTGTGTCTGAAGGGTGGGAAGAAAGTGACAAATGCATTTATTCTTGATTTGCTGTTTTCCTCTGAAATAATAAAGTGACCACTGTACAAAAACTTATCTTACGTTGTTGTATGTCCTCAAATTCAGGTTTTGCCACCTTAAAATACAGTAAATAAAATAAACATTAATGATGTTTCTTCCTGTACCTACTGCATGGAGTTAGGCAATCGGCAGACTAGTTCAGGTTTTAAAATAAATTGATATTTCAATGTAATGTTAATGAATAAAAAACATCTTAAATTGTTACTTCAGAGCTAATTTTCTGAATCGTCACTAGTATTTTAAGCGCTTAACCTCCCTTTAGATGTAATAATTACAACAGTGGGATAGGTCAACGGCAGTGGATGGATTATTTGTGCCATAATTTACTGTAAACACCTGATTGAGCCGGTGACAGCAGATTTCACACGCTAAAACCTAGGAAGCCCCGCCTTCTCCGGCGGACGTGCGTGAGTACCAAAGAGTGTTGAACAAAATGATGTCTCACTGTTTTCGAGTTTAAGGGAGCGGAAGGGTCATTGAAAGCGCCCGTAAAGTCTTATTTTGTCTTTTCCGCTAGCAATTATGTTTTGAAAGAAGCATTTTTATACCAAAACAAGTCATTTGAAGCTTAAATTCTTAATGTTTGAAAACCTAAAACAACTTTAATTTGTTCAAGCTCTATTTATCCACGTAGGACTCTGCAATGTTAAATTTAAGGATAGTTGCTGCATTCGTGTTTTTATTTGTGCAACTATTAAAATTCTGCTAACGAATTATCAGTAATGGTTTAGGTATCATAATTTAATCCCAGGCAAATTAGGTTTAGCTACAGATCCACGTAAAACTAGACTTTTTCGTTCCGTCTCGGATCTTGTCTCGGAGTGACTCGTCTTCATGTAAATAGACGATTTGAATGTATGTTCTGCTCCGGGCCGCTAGGTGGCAGCAGAGCGGTGTGGCGTTTCCTTCAGCCCTCACAGTCACAACAAGAGGAGGAAGAGGAAAACGACAGCTCAGGGATCTGGATCGTCGTCGACTGCCTTGCGTGAGAAGACGGGGATCGTGTTCAGGCTTTGGGTACGAACACTTTTATTTTCTTCCGCGGCGTTCGCGCAGTTTGGAGCCGCTTTCCACGGTGGCTCGCTCGGCGCGCCGCTCGCTGCTGTTCGCGGAGCGACTTTCAGGCTGGAAACAAACCCGCGGAGGCTCTCCGACCAAAATGGCTGGGCGCAGTGAAATGTGAAATATTCTCGTTAGGCTTTTACTTTCTACGAGCAGCGCGGCCGAGCCGCAGATTCTGCGGCTAACGCGAGTTAGTTGCGCTAATAAAGCGCGGGTGTTTGTTTCCGTTTGTGTGTGTGTTTTTTTATTTTTATTTTTTTTTTATTAGTGCGGCTCGGCTCGGGCCTTTCGTATTTTTATCTCCTCCATGATTTCTGCATGGTCGGTTCAGACACTTTCTCTCTATTCTCCCTTTGATTAACGCGCATTTGTCAACAAGCGCAGTTTTAGTTGCAGGCTGTGAACTTTGTTGTGGTGCATTTTGTTCAAAGTGTGTGGATATTCCGATCAGTGTCATGCAAATAGAGCTCCACCCCTGCACGCACCGCGCGTCGCAGATTTAAAATGGAAAATAAACATCTGACGGTGTTGTCTCCTCTGCAGGTTGCTCCTGTTTGACCTGCAACATGTCTGAATTACTGAGATACATCGACTACGACCACAAAGCCACCTTCCTGAAGATGCTCAACCAGCAGAGGATGGAGGGTGAGCACTGTGACGTGGTGGTGGTGGTGGAAAACATAGAGTTCAGAGCTCACCGCTGCGTGCTGGCGGCCTGCAGCAACTACTTTAAAAAGCTCTTCAAGAAGCAGAGCGACGACGACAACTCCATCGTAGAGCTCGACTTCATCCGCTCCGACATTTTTGAAGAGGTGCTCAATTACATGTACACAGCCCGGCTGGCCGTGAGGAAGAAGGACATCAATATGATGATGTCGTCGGGTCAGATTCTGGGCATCAACTTCCTGGATAACCTGTGCACCCAGAAGCGAGAACTGACCAACATGAAGACCCGAGAGAACCAGGCTCCAGACGACCATGGGCTGAGAGCGCAGGACGCTATCCTGAAGGAGTTGGCCATGGAGGAGGTGAGGAAGAACAGCTTCTATGACCAGGGGATGGATGGGATAGGGCCCGGCGGTTCCCACGTGTCTCAGCCACACAACTACAACACCAACCTGGGTAAAGACCCCCACAGCCACAGCTGGACCTCCTCCACCTCTAGCGACATGAAGCTGGAGTACCTCCTTTACGGCCACCGCGACCACGGCTCCTGTCAGACCACGGGCACGAAGCCCTTGGACCACAACACCAAGAAGGAGCGACTCCTCACGGCTAACCGCCCGTACGGCTGCGAGCACTGCCCCAAAGCCTTCACCACCGCCGCTCACCTCAAGGAGCACCTAAAGATCCACTCCGGCTTCAAACCGCACCGCTGCGTCGTCTGCGGCAAGGCCTTCATCAGAGGTCCCGACCTGAAGCGGCACGAGCGGGTCCACAGCAACGAGAGGCCCTTCGCCTGCCAAATGTGCGAAAAGGCCTTCAAGCACAAATCCCACCTGAAAGACCACGAACGACAGCACCGGGGTGAGCGGCCCTTCAACTGCGGCTCCTGCGACAAAGCCTTCATCAAAGCATCGGACCTGAAGCGCCACTGGAACACCATGCACAGCGGCAACCCCCGAAGACAGATGTCCCTGTCGCCCGCCGCCTCCCAGCATGGCCAGGCGGAAACCGCCGACCAGAGAGACTGGAAGCTGGAGACCGGGCCACACTCGCACAACTCGGGGGACTGCTGAGCCTGCAAAACACACACACACTGACAGGAGGGTGTAAAGGGCCACGTGGCCCCGGAAAATCACGCAGGCGGCGATCAGAGTGACATCAGCATGTTCATCCTGACTGTGGGACTTTATATTACTAAAAAAAAACATGTCAAAGCGACGTTTCTTTCCACCTGTAAAGTTCTGTAAATGTTTAGTTCGCTATACGATACGTATATTTTTCACAAAGCGTCGTCTCTATCTAGACCTCGGGTTCCCATAATGTTTTCTTTTATTCTAACAGCATATGTAACATTTAAATGTTTGTTTAACCTTTATTGAATTTTACGAGATAACAGAGAGAGTCAGCCTGTGGGGAACGGGGAGGGGGGGGTCTGCATAACATTTGTCGCATTGAGTATATTCATGTGGATGTTTTTAATGGATGTTTAGTTGTATTGATTGATATTACACTGTAAAAGTAACGAGTCACCACTTTTGCATTTCAGCGCAGATGATACCAAAGTCTTGGGCGTCTGGCGGATCGTCTCTCGGGACCGTCCTTCCCAAGCAAGCGGCCAGCAGGATTTACTGTTATACAGTATAACCGTCAGCCGGCTCTCATCAGTTAACTATAGATGTCTGTATATACTGTAGCTTAGTTTGTTGCACAACTAGAGATCAATAATGAATTATGCACATATAACATTGTCCTACTCGTACACTTTGACAATAAACACCATTTGCCGTGTTTGCAAAGTTTTTGTGGGGAACATTGGTGCACGGCCGCATGTGGCAGTGAGGTCGCTGAAACGGCGTCGCTCTTGATTTAACCTGATGTTCATCACCCGAATGGATGATAAAAACCAGGGTTTTTATTATTTTTTATTTATTTTCCCCTTGCTGCTGCTCCTGGAACTCGGGAGACGGAGCCTCTGATGACTTTTACGCGCTTGTCAAACTTAACTCTGAAGAAGAAAAAAACAAATCTTTAGTAATTTTCTGTGTTTTAGTTTTATTATGAACATTTTTAAATCATAAAATATGGGATCCTAAAAAACATTAAATAAATAGAACAGTGAAGTTAGGCTAAACTTGTAAGAAGTAAGGCTGAAGCTCAGCTTTGAGGAAATCTGGTCTATTTAAGGTGGATGACAAACACTTTTAGGGTCATTTTAAAATCAGGAAACTTGGAAAAAAATTGAGCATTGCAGCAGGAAATGAAAGTTTCTAAAATATTGTATTTTCCTGTGTGTGTGTGGAAAACAAGCTGATGTCAGATCAGATACCTACGGCACATCTTTTCTTTTACAGTGCTTCCTTGTTGATCCTGAGAAAGAAAATTAGCCTAAAAGTGTGTCTGAATCCTCGTGAGGAGATGGATCCTCGTGAAGAACCATAAAATCCATTCAAAGTTAAGGTCTTAAGTTTCATTAAACTTGTCAAGTTAAAAGAAACTTTTAAAATCCTTTTTGTTTAAACGACTTAACAAGCTGGAAACTTCTAACATCCTTGCAACTTTTAAGCTTGTGTTTCTAATTCTCTACAAGCTGCATGTTCAGCGTCACTCTGCTTTTCTTCTTCCTCCAGCTTAATGACAAAGTCCCAAAGTCTTTTATTTTGAAGGAATAAAACAAAATTACTTGCGCTGCTCTCTTTATTCTCTGCATGCAACACTAGATGGTGCCCTGTGACTAGTGTTCAACCCAGTTTGACCCGCTTGTGTCAGCTGTCCAGAACCGCAGGCTCCTCGGAGGAGCCGGAGAAGAAAAAAGTTTCAGAAACTGATTGAAAAAACGGGAAATCTGAGGAGAAAAGGCATGCACCCTCACACTCCTGTTCCACACGTTTCCATGCAACGGAACGTGTGCACTTCCATGGTGATTCGTTTCAACTGGCTTTAGGACGGCACAAAGGTCACATGTAAGGGCGGGTTGCTTCAGACAGGTGTTCTAGCCAGAGGTCCTTGGCTGGACTTTTAAAGAAAGTCAAACAACAGTATTTATATCATGTATCACCACACACACACACACACACACACTTAATGTAAATAAAGTTAAGCTGAAAAGAAACATCACCAGTTTGTTTTGTTTCATCCATTTTTTCACTTGAGAGTGTGGTGGTAGATACTCTGCTGGTGATTGGCTGATTAGAACAATCTTACTGGTTTGTTTCTCAGGCTAAGGAACATCAGGAACATCTGAGATTTTTATGGAAAACTAACCAGTGTTAGATGGAAAAATGGTCTTGATGTCTGTTCTGTCTTTCCTGGCCCTGTTCTTTGTGTGTGTGCATGCGTGAATGGGTGTGTGCAAAGGAATCGAAGTGTACATAAGCCTGTGTGTGTGTGTGTGCACATGTGAAATAACTGAAAAAATATGAGAAGGAGGCAGGAGATGAGCATGCATTCATGCGTGTCTCTCTCTCTCTCTGTGTGTGTGTGTGTGTGCGTGTGTGTGTTCACCACAGTGTTTATTTGTTTTGCATCTGTAATGAGCTCTGTGCATTCGTGCACATTTATGTGTGAATGGCAAGCAGTGTGTTCATGTGTGTGCGTGCGTGCAAAGGAATTGAAGTGTATGTAAGCCGGTGTGGTGTGTGTGCATGTGAAAAAAACTAAAAAACATGACATGGGAGGAGAGAAGAGCATGCATTCATGCGTGTGTGTGTGTGTGCGTGCATGCATGTATTAACCACAGAGTGTTTGTTGTGCATCTGTAATGAGCTCTGTGCATTCGTCCACATTTATGTGTGGATGGCAGGCAGTGTGTGTGTGTGTGTGTGTGTCCATCCTTGTTTGATTGCTTATGCACGAGCCTCTGCATGCAAATGAACACTTCTTCACTATTAAAGGCTTCACGTTTCAGATGGCTGAAGCAGATTTTTGCTGGAATGGGTCGACAGCATCGTGCAAAAGTTTTACACCAACTAGTTTGGTCTGCATGCAAGGATCCAGATGTCATCACAGTCTTCTGGAGTGGTCTTGATGAGCAGTTTCACCAAATTTGGCTGTTTGTTTAACGTTTTCCATCTAATTCTCCTACCTGACCACGTCGGCGTGTTGTGGGATCATGGAGAACAGATCCAGGAAGGAAAACCATCTCCTCGCTATTTTAGCTCTTTCCCTGCTCCAACACACTTGATTTGACAGACTGGATATTTTTGAGTCAGACTTTTTGTCTTTGGCTGCGATGGACTGGCTCTCTGTCCTGGGTGTGCCCCGCCTGATTGCCCATTGACCGCTGGAGATAGGCACCAAAGGTAACAAAGCTCCGGTGCGCCTGTTCGATGACGTAGAAGGCAGCTTGAGGAGAAAATGGCAGAAGATGACAACCCTGGCAGAGTCCATGAGCATGTGTGTGTTTCTGACAGGCTGCTGGTAAAAATGGGACTTTTGCTAAGGCTGGCTCATCCCTTGAGTTAGGAGCTAGACATGACGCCTGAATCACTGATGTATGATGATGTAAATGGTTAGGTTTTAATCTGACAGTGAGTGTGAAAAAGCAGCCCTAGTCCGAGGAAACCTTCTGGAAAAATATTGATCAGGAAGGCGCTTGTTCAAAGATGACAGGAAAGTCTGGATCCTTGGAAGGAAAATATTAAAAACAAAAAGTGACTCAAGACTTTTAAACAGAACTGCCTGTGACAGATATTAGTGTTCAGGGGCTGTGCCTCCAGATTCACGTCTGCACGCTTATGTATCATGTGTGTGTGTGTGTGTGTGTGTGTGTGTGTGTGTGTGTGTGTGTGTGTGTGTGTGTGTGTACAGTGAACACCCGTTTTCCATTACCCCGGCCGGCCTGGTTCCATCATCCAGACCACAAACCTCCTGTCTCCACTCAGGCTCCACCCAGCGTCGCCACAGGCTTCCCAGAAAAGAACAGCGTCTAATTAAAAATAAAAAACTTTAATTACATTCATCTTATCTCTGCTTCACAGACGCACTCGGAGAGAATGAAACAACTGTATATAAACAGTTTGATGTGATAAATGTGTGTGAAAAGCAAAGGCAGATGTGGTTTTTTGTTTTGTTTTATGACTCCAAGCAGGATGGCGTTTAATCAGATCAGCTGACGTTCATGAGGCATCTGGAAAGTCTTCGTGATCTTTCGGTGCATCTCTGGGACTTTTTTTTACTTGATCTCATCTTTCAGGAACGTTAAACTAAAAAATAATCTTCCAACTGTGCATCTTCTGTATTATTAAACTGATTTATGGCTCTCCGTCAAATTTTGGTCCTGTTAACGGGAGGAGGATCTCTGAGGAATGTCTCTGATGGTGGTGGTGGGGGGGGTGGGGTGGGGGGGGGGTCACTCATCAGCCTTCCAAACACAGCAGCTCCTGTCTGACCTGCTTCCTTCCATCAGAAGCAGTGTCATTGACTGCAACCCCACTTGTCCGCAGACAGGCTGCGTCTTTGTGGGTCGGCGTGGTGCTGCTGACCCGCTGGAGGTGGGTTATCGCTCCATCTCGGCCGGATCGCTGAGATCTGCCTACAGGAGTCATTGTTCGGGTCTGGACCAGATGTTCCTGCTGCCAGATTGCTATCACATCACTCCTCAGTGGGGAGTCCAGACCCTCCCCCCTCCACCTGCTGTTTTCTCCACATCGCCTCTTCCTCGCCAGACTGCTCTGGTTTGCTTCTCCTTGTTGTTGTTTTTATTTTTTTTATTTTAGCTTCTTTTCCCTTTTTAAGTTCAAGGCTTTTTCTGTTCCTCCCTCGTCCCTTCTTCTGTCTCCCATCTCCCCCGGGGTGTTCCGCAGGGTTTAATGTTGGGACCCCTGCTGTTTTGTGTGTAGATTCTGCCATTGGGGGGTATCCAATGGAAGCATGGTATAGCTTTTTTACCTATATGCTGACGATTTTCCAGCGGTCGACCAATCTCAAAGCCTTGGATGGCTGAGAACATCCTGTGTGTTGAACACAAGACAGAAGCAGTGCTCAATCATTACACTGAGTTAAACCCCCACACAAGGGATTTTCTAGAGGTGAAGATCGACAATGCCTTTTGTTTTAGAGGTCACATTACCGGAGTTGTGGCATCATCCTGTCATCTGAGTTGTTTGGTTAACCATCCTTGTCTAGACGTGACCTTGAAACTGTTGTGAATGCCTTCAAAGCTTTACCACTGTAACTCTGTCCTATTCAGAGTGAGTCGGAGTGCCTTAGCTCATCCAGGATGCTGTCATTCTTTGTCTTCTCTCCTCCCTCTATCATCATTTCTCCCATTCTCTCATCTCCCAATCCTTCCTTTTTCTGATTTTTCTCATACCTCCGACTCTGCTCTTTGTCCTTCTATCTTCTCATCTGAAACCTACCCTCTCCTCCTCCTCCTCCTCCTCCTCCTCCCTGTAGCACAGGTAATAAGTCTCGTTGGACACAACATTTGTTGTTGTCCTCCCTCTGCCTCCTTAGATCAGACGTGGAGGGTCTCTTATTAATGAAATTCTCCTGCTGGTAACACTGAAGGATGCAAAGACGGGGCTAGATATCATCTGGGGGAAAGTTGATGACATAAAACCAGCCAATCACAAATGAAAGATGAGATTCCTAAGCACGGAATGATGAAGCAGCAGACGCACGTTTCACCATTTCATTAGGTACACCTTAAGGATCCTCATTTACCATCAGAACCACCATTATTCTTCGTGTCATCAAGGTTTTGGAAACCTTCCTCAGAGGTTCTGGCTCATTTTCACATGACAGCATCCATGATGTGAATCTCCTGATCCACCACTTCCCAAAGGTTC